AGTGGGGAAAGAAAGAGAGACGAGACATTGAAAAAGGCACACTTAGAAAAGAACCCGGATTCAGTCATACCTTGATCTTCTTCAAAGAACCATTTATGATTTTCAAAGCTTCTTGGAATGTACCAGTCAGTATACTGGCTGTATTTAAATCATCTGACATTTTAGCCTGGAACTCACGTTGTAGACTATTGACACAGTCAAAGCACTTTTCGGCATCAGGCGAAACACCAACCTTTTTGCCATCCTTGGCAATCCCAGCATTTATGCCAACTTTGGATATTTCTTCTTGATATGGTGATATGGCATCATGAAGATCTTGCAAAGTCTAGCAACCACATAAAATTGAGGTTAATAACATAGGATTTCACATGCATTTTTTCTCTTTATTCTAAAAATTGGTGATAAAGCAATCAAAAATATTAATTGACCAGGTTGCACATGCATATCAAACATAAACAGACGGCTCCAAGAAACAGATGAAATTTCAATAGTTATATCTCAATTGACAATGCAGAAACTGCTTCAATATTTCTATATGCAAATGGCTGAAATTGCAAATTTTAATTATAAATCTGCTCAGTGTTGCTTCTACTTCAGAAGCATCCCTGTTGACCAGTCTACAAAAATGTCAACATTTTTCTAATTAAATATCTTCGAAGGTTCAATAAAGCTTCTGACCTGGTATACATAATAAACAGCATCAGAAGCACTTTCCAGCTGGGAAATTGTGTAATTGAGAGGAGAGCGATAGTGTGCACTTATCAAGAAATGCCTTAAAGCCAGCGGATGGTACCTAGCAATAATCTGTGTAAAAATGGAGGGGTTACATAACTTAGTATAGATAGTACAACTCTCTTTTTTAAACATCAAAAAACACAATTAAGCCACTTTACCTCACGAATTGTGAAGAAATTGCCCAATGATTTTGACATTTTCTCGTTGTTATTAGTCACATGCCCATTATGCATCCAGTAGGCTATATTGCTCTCTTGGCATGCAGCAGAACTCTGTGCAATCTCGTTTTCGTGATGTGGAAATATCAAATCTATTCCACCTCCATGAATATCAAATTTGAATGTAAGATAATGAGCACTCATAGCACTGCATTCAATATGCCATCCTGGTCTTCCAGGACCCCATGGGCTGTCCCAGCTTGGTTCACCAGGTTTTGCAGCCTGAAATTAGTGGTCTAGGTCAAATATCTGACTCGCACACAGCAACTGATGCACATATATTTGCTTGTGGGTACACTAATATACATACAGCTTATTTGGTTGTGTGTGTGTGTGGGCACATATATTGTCTTCTTCCTACTTGGACAACTATCCTAGCCATTAAAATTGTCTCAAGTATTTGGTTGTCCTATCATTTAAATCAAATAAAAGTAAGAAAATGTATATAATTTACAAAAAGAGTAGAAATTATGAATCCTATTACCAGGAAAGGCATGAAAACAACAAATATTATGTATTATCTTTTGAGTACTCGTAATTTGTAAAATTCTTCTCCCAGGAAAAAAAGGTAAAGCTGGTTTTAGAGGGCAGAGGGAAGTCAATTTGAATAGATTATCACACCTTCCACAGTGCGAAGTCAGCTGGATTACGCTTCCTTGAGTCAACAGCAACACGCTCACCAGCTCTATTATGTTCCAGCTTCTGTCCAGATAACTGGCCATAATTTGGGGATTTGTTAACAGAAAAAAACACATCTCCATCAACCACGTAGGCACAGTCATTGTTGATAATCTGCATATAGTCAATAGAGAGAGTTTAGAAAGTTGTTTCATGGTATTGGAGTCACGTCACTGTTCCAAAGTAACAATCTTCTTTGTCATGAATAAAGCCAGAACAAGCACCAAATTTCAGTGAAATTATAGGGCTACTTCTAACAAATTCTAAGCAAGGAAATGATTGCTTATACGTTGTAAGTCTAGTGAAATAATAATTTGCAATAAAGCAACATAGACAAACTTCAAGGGTCAGTAATATTAAGACGAAGGTTCACTCAAGAGTTCTATCTTAAATTTGCTTGTATCTGTAGCTAGCCTTGTAAAAAAATTCTTTTTTTCTTTTTGATAGGAAACTCAAAGAGTAAGTGAGCATAGTAGCAAGATGAAAACCTGCTTTATCATATCCTTGATCTGTTCCATGTGTTCACTCACACGAGGCTGATATGTTGGACGGAGACACAGAAGTGCATCCATGTCTTTAAGATATTCTTCACAGAATCTGTTGCTTAATTTCAACGGATCTTCTCCAGACTCATTTGCACGACGAATTATCTGCAGAGATCCAAAATTAAGCATTCTCTATAAAAGCCTAAGCAAAAGTGGCAATAAGAAATTAATAATTCTCTGACAATACATGCTCAGTAGGGGACTAAGGGCTCTCAAGTCATGTCCTAACTAACCCAACACCCACCATTTCACCAAGTACATTATTGATTTTCAATAAAATATTTATACAGAATTTGCTGCCTAGATGTCACCCGGGGAAAAATATTATACTGTTTGTATACAAGTGCAATTTAAGATAACCGCATTCAAATATCTTAGTACAATATGCCATGACATTCCTACCTTGTCATCAACATCTGTAAAATTCCTGATATAAGTAACTTCATAGCCCAAATGTTTTAAGTACCTGCAAAATATCAGCTGAGATCAAGCCCACATAACATTTTACATTAAGCATCCCTTCTACCTGGCTCAGATAGGGAGTAAATAATCCATTTGACACATCATTAAATTTGGCCTATTGCATATATTTTTTTCTTAATCTCCTTTTCATGATTCTATTCATAATTTGCAAGCAAAAGCTGAGAAGTCATCATCAGAGTAAAATAAATTCCTCATATATCATCTTTTGATTATTCTAGGAAAAATTCATCAAAGCAACATAATTCCTTTGAATGTTCACCTCCTTCAGAAATCTTATTTCTGTTCTCTCTATGAAAGAACAGCAACTTCTTGGACTGAAGCTGGTGCATATAATCTGTAGAGACCAAATTCAAAAACAAATACCCTACCTGTTCCCATATGCTATCCAAGAAATATAGAATTGGTTCTGTCAACATTGAATTTAACAAAGAAACTGCTTACAAAATAAGGGGAAAACAACCATATGAGTATAAACCTTCCTCATGAATCTGTGTCAATACAGTCAAGAAAATTCTAACATCAGAGCATACAGGAAATGTAAGTACAAGAATACATGCATTATATGCATTGCATGTACACATGGGTCCACATAAGACACAGCTCTGAACATAACATTCATGAAACACACGTCACAACCGGTATATACCTGTAGAGGATGTCAAAGCAGACAGCTGCACGAGCATGGCCAAGGTGGCTGAGATCATAGGAGGTTACACCACAGACATACATGCCAACCTTGCCAGGAATTTTCGGTACAAACACTTCCTTCTGTTGGGTCATTGAGTTGTAGACCTTAAACTCCTCCTTCTCCATTTTCTCCCAGATGAATAAAATTAAAATCACTCTCTCTTTTCTTGCCAACTATGCAGCAACTGCACATAAAGTTTTTATTTCACTTGAAATGGAAAAATCAATAAGAGGAAATCAATACCAAAGAAAAAAAACAATACTGTGGCTACAAACCCGAATGACAGTGGGTTAATGTAATAATTAACTGGTCAATGCAGAAATATGAGGGAAGAAAATTGAAATAAGAAAGTATTCAACCAAACTTGGGCCTTGAACCCTCAATAGTAAAACTCCTTTGGGCTCTAAAACCCATAAAAACTCAAAGGATGTCATAAACCATACACGGAAAAGGTAGATCACCACATCAAAAAACAATAAAGACATGGAGACCGTGCAAAACATAAACAACTGCTCATCCTATACGTGCTTTCATTTTCTTCCAACTTGCACTTACATTGCATTATTGTGGAGAGACTTTGGTTTTCCAAAAAATGGGTAGAAGGGAAATTAGCATACCATTGAAACTACTAGGAAAATTGAGCACAGAACATGGCTAAAATGCAGCATCAGATTTCATTCGTAGAAATAGTAATATTTACATTATCAATTACCAATATATACAGGGATCTTATATTGGTCACCAATGAAACAATCGCCAGAACTAAGTATATTTAACAAGTATGAAAAATAAACAAAGATCAAACCCATACCCTAAGAATCTTCAATCACCTACCAAGGGCAATATCATGGAGATACATGTATACCAATTCAAGGTCGCCGCATATCGAAATAATCAACCCACATGTAATAATACAAACAATAATTATATATACAAACAAGAATGAGCTTATTTCCCAAGGTAGGAATCCATATAAGTATCATTTTCACATACATAACTAAGAAACAACATTGAAAGACAAATTATGTTAAACTATCATATGAAAATTAATACATCTTCCAAATAGTGACACCAATAAATGAAGTACCAATGTTGCATTTATGCAAACCTGCTCATTTACATAATTGCCCATATTTGGAGTTGCATACACATATAATGAAGAAAAAAGACAAAAGAGAAATGGCTCATAAGCCAAAATGTTGGTCAGAAATCAACAAAACAGTCATAACAAATCTGACCAGCGCATTAACACGGAGCAAACATTTACACTGAAAGTCAATATAAATCTTATTCCAGAACCCCAACATCAAAGTGTATGCATATATTATACTGAAAGTCAATATAAATCTTATTCCAGAACCCCAACATCAAAGTGTATGCATATATTATACTGAAAGTCAATATAAATCTTATTCCAGAACCCCAACATCAAAGTATATGCATATATTAAACTGAAAGTCAATATAAATCTTATTCCAGAACCCCAACATCAAAGTATAAATCAGCCAAAAAATTAAAAATAAGAAATTGACAAAAAGAACTAAAGTTCACAAAACAAGAGAGTAACGCAAACATATGCAATGCCAGTAAGCTTATTTGGAGGACAAACCATCAAAGACTAGTTACAAATAAAAAAAATGATCCAGGCAAAAAGGTTACGGAGATAAATAATGAGATGAATATTTAATGCATAAATGAGTAACAGACAAGTCTTTAACACGAATTAACTAGAGCATGATACGAATCTTAAACCTAAATGCGAGTATCAATCAAAAATCAAACGGAAAAAACCTACTGAAATCGGTTATACCATTCTCACATATCAAATACAAAACTAATGTTATGTTTTTAAGCAAGTAAATTGTTCGTTTGAAATTCATCTGCGGATGTATAGTTGGCTCAAACACTGAAAACCATATCCAAACAAATTTTAGTTAGAATTGAAATCAAATTCTATCAAACTTCGTACAGTTGAAAAGATACATTTGCTCCAAACAGACCTAAAAGCAAGAAAACAACAAAGAAATAAAGGATTTTACCAGTCGAAAGAAAAGCTAAGCTTTAAGCACCAAAGCAGATGACGGCCGTTTCTTGTTTGCTGTGGCGAGAAAAGACCAATAGAAGTAACTGTATAAGACAAAAAGAGAATGAAAAAACGAGCTTTAGTGGCAAAATTGAATGTGATGGACGGTAGATCGTAAGAGAACTGGGAGTTCTCTGTTTAGGGTTTCTATTGCAACTTGCGGTTAGTCTTTAGGAGACGTCAATGATGATGTACGCCACCGAGAAATGATCGAGATTGAGGAAAATTGAAGGCTTCCGGCGGCGAGGAAGCAGATAGAGAATGAATTTCCGGTTTTCACTTTCCTGTAGCAATGGCCGCTGAACAGGAAGACTGAATGAGAGGTTTATCATTTATATTACCTGTTCTCCTCGGGGAAACGGAAATGGGCATTTGGGATTTTATTTTATTTAATGTTTTGTTGTAATAATAATATTTGATTTAATAGGTTAAATAAAAATAAAATATTTAAATTTTATTTTTTATATTAAAATCAGGAGTTTAAATTCTTATAAATACGTAAAAATTATTATTATTTAACTGTATTATGTATTATTAATTGTTGTCTTATAATATTTAATTTAACTGATTTTATAATTTAATTTATTAATATATTAATAAATTTATAATTATTAAATTCAATTTTATTTTAATAAATTATAACATCTTTAAATTTTTGTTTGTATCAATAAGGTTTGAATGAAGTTTTTGTCAAATACATATATATAAATCCGAATGTAAATTTTTTATTTTTTTAGTTTATATTTAATATGATAATATATACAATTATCTTAGTTAAATTTTTTAAATATAAAAATATTTTAAGATATATTAATATAATAATCTCAATAATATTTATTTATTTAATGTAATAGTATGTAGTAATTATTTATTAAATACAATAATAAAATATAAATGTAATAATATTATTATGTAATTAATTTTTAACTAAATATAAACTCTATAAAAAAAAATTTTGATAACATATTTTTTTAATACTAAAGTGTGATAATTTTTTTTTATATTTTTATTAAAAATTTGTTTATCTTACATAATTTTTATTTTTATAAAATAATATTTATGTAATTTATAAATATACTTGTTATAATTTTATATATTTCACTCGACTATTAAATAAAATAATAAGATAAATGTATAAAATCATATATAACATATTTATAAAGATAAAAACGGAATATCGAAGATAGAGATGAGCGCTTGATTTTTTTAAAATTTTTTTATATATTTATTGATAAGACTTATATTACTATTATTACTATAAACAATATATGATTATAAAGAAATACATCTTCAACTTTTACTTGAAATACCCACAATAAGTTAATATTGCACTTAACATTTTATGTATTTAAAATGGTTAAAATATGAAAATGGTTCATGTATTTTTTTTCTTGCATTTTTAGTTCATGTTTTTTTTTAAAAAATATTTTTTATTTAATTTAATATTTGTTAATGTATACTAATATAATAGTGTGTTTGTCACATGTAGCAAACTGAATACTTAATTATTTATATATAGATAAATTTAAACATTAAATGTCTCGTAATATTTAATATATAAAAAATATTTTGATTTTAATTATTTTTTATATAATAAAAAATTAAAAAAATATTTTTTAAAAAATAGTATTATAACACAAAAATTCATTTGAGCATTTTAAAAATAATACATGAACTATTTTATTATCTTGGTTAAAATAAACACAATCTTTTTAAAAAAATACTAACACATTTTTTGTCAAAAAAGGCCAATAACACATTTAATATATTGATGTTTTCATTTTCACTAAGAGAACTATAATTCTGATTATCTTTTTAATTGTTTTGTTGAAGTAAATTGGAGAATATTATAGTATTTGAAATAAAAATATTATATACATATACAAAATGTGATTTTTAGTAGTTTTATTTACCTAAAATATTGTATTATTATAAAAAAAAATATAT